TATGGATTTTAATGAGGCTTATAATCTAGCAATAAATATACAATATATTCAAAAGTATGGAGTTGTAAAAAGGGCGATTTATATAACTTTAATTCTAAACTAGTCTGCAAACCAAAGGTTGTAGAAAGTAGGCTTGTACGAACATAATTCTTTTTGGTGTTGTGGAGCAGAAGGATGAAAATAACAGAGGAAGAGAGGTTTAAATTAAAATTAAAGGTGTGGGGGGGAGATCAATTGTTTATCTTCATTCAARAGGCCTTTAAGCACAACAATAGTTTTGTGGATGTGGGAGGTATCTTGTGGACAGCTTCTTTTTCATCTCAATCTGCTCACTTGGCAGAGTGGGAGCTGCCTGGATGCTGCATTCCTGCAGGTCTCACAAGATGGGAAGCAGTGCAAGCAGCAGCAATCCTTGCTCCTTGTTGCTTGGCTGGCCAAAGCAAAGCTTGGAGTTGCCCATGTCCAARCAGAGCAGTGATTTGTGTCCCTCTGAGCAGTTTCACCAGGTAAATACATCTTTAGGTTGCCCTCTGCCTCTTTGTAAGGGTGGAGGCTTTGGAGGTGATTGCAGATTCATGTGCCTCATCTAGCTGGGATTTGGGAAGAAGGAAGCACTCCAAGTGTTCAGTTGATCAAGCACAACTTAATTATTTTACCTAAAGAAGGGTGACAGCAAAGTTCTTGAAACCAGTGACTCCCTGCCTGGACTGGGGTCCTCCTGTGCATCATCCCAGCTGCCTTTATGGACACGGCTCCCGTGTGTTTATTCACTCATGTTTGGGTCAGTGAGGACACAGGGCTGCTGTCAAACCCAGGATTGGCCTGTCCTCAGTTTGTCTGCATTGTGCAGCTCCCATGACAGTGAATTGCTCTCCTCTATTTCACAGTGTGTGCCAAGCTCATTCCAAGAGACACCAGGGCACGTTCCAGGGACACTTTGCTGCTGCTGCAGTACCCACATTGGGTTTGCAGTGAACCCTTCTGTGCTCAGTTGYCTTGCACTGGGGTAAAAATTCCTAATGTAATAGTGAGGTGGGTTCTGCATTTTTAAAGAAGGCGCAGACAGTAATTAATTTACACAGAGTCCCTGCAGATAGAGAAGCCAGACCACTGAAAGTCTCATGGTGAGACAGAAATGTGATTAGGAATTCTAGTGAGGGCTCCTCCCTTTGTCCCAAGCTCTAATTCTGCTGTGTGGGAGGCCTTGTCAAAGCAGTCCTGAGCTCTCTCTGGTACAAAACCTTTTGTTCATAAACAGGGGAGTGTGAGACCCGTTCCAGTGCAGCCCTACATCGTCTGTTCTTTACAGCAGTTTATTTTTGATAAGCTGCAGCACATTTCAATGTAATTGTTAACATGCCTAATTTGCAGCCACACAGTCGTATCAATAATAATGGAAAGTTGTTCACAGGTAATAAATTAGCATAGCATATAACCAGCAGAACTCTGCCTCTCAGTATATTGTTTCACGATCAAGAATTCAGTAGTTAAATATACACAGCAGTGGGCTGAGAACAAGCTGTTCATTTTTGCTGCAAGCAGTACCAGTGGACCAGAGTAATCATAGCTCCCAAAAGCAGGACTGATTTTATTGATTTTAAATAGGCTTTCATTATAGCACTGAGCTTATTCCAATTGCAAGGAGTATCACTGCTGTTCGCATTCACAGCGCTGACTGAGGGATGGAGAGGTTTTGTTGGATGCAATGTAGAGGCTGTTTGTCCCTCAGTGTTCTATTCTGCCCTGCTGAAGCATCTAAATTTATTATAGAAAAATAGCTCCTTAAGGCTTTTTTCCTATGTGGTTAGCTTAAYGTTTTTTAGAAATGTGGAGCCAGCTACAGTTGTGAAATTCAGTATTCTGAGGAGTAAAGGTCTTGCTTATTTATTGACATCTGACTAAGGGATCAGTTGTATTTTGCTTCCATTTTTTAAAGGTCCCTTTAGAAATGATGAAATCATAGATTCACTTTACTTGGAAAAGATCTCTAAGATCATCAAGTCCAACCATTAACCTAATACTGCCAGGTCCAGCACTTAACCACATCCCTAACCACCACACCTGCACCTYTCTCTTTTTGTGTAGATTAACATAAAAAAAGACAAATAAAAGAGCTGCTCAATCTGAGATATTAATGTATTCAGGTTATAATTAGTTAAGAACACATGCTGTTACCAGCAATGCGTCATTAATCTGCATGGAGCAGTTTGCAGCCATTTGTTGCTAAATTAGTGACACTTAAAAGCTGTTGGGTTTTTGTWTTGTTTCAAATTATAAAGAAAATTATAAATCTCTGGCTAAAAACCACATATGCACGCTCAAGGATCAGGTTGGTTTATTGTTTGCTTTCCTATGGGTGTTTTTTTGTTTTAATTTACACAGGGCTGGTAGGCCACTGGCCAGACAGGAGTTGGTTGAAGCCTTAATGCTGTTGAAAATGTGGTACTGTACTTTATGGTGGTGTAAAGACATTGCTTGTGCAGGTTCTCTCCAAAACCTTTTTTATAATTACAAAGTCCTGCTTAAACATTTTTTCCAGTGTTACTAGAACAGTTTGAAAGGGTATTAATAGAAATTAGTTACACCTTTTGGATTTTAATGGGCTTAATTGACTTTAGGTACCTTTTTTTTTTTCTTAAACCTACTAGTGAAGGTGAATTACTTCAGATATTCTAGCTAATCCCACTTTTTTTTTTGTTTTGGTGTAATCTTTCATTACACAGTTTGGGAATTATGGCAGGGAAAAACACAAAAACTTTGTGTGAGCATTTCTAGAAATCAGCTCTTTAAATAAGATGGTGACATTAAGTAGTGAATCAACTTGGTAAGTACTGAATGATCAAGCCTAGTTACTGTAAAATGAGATCTGGAGGGTTTATTTCATTTTACAGAGTTTGGGCAAATAATTATGGAATTAAATTGCTTCCTCTTGGTTTCCTGCAGGGCATAAAGAACCTGCTGTACTCTGCTCTGCTGAGCTGCTGCATTGATTAGTTCTTCAGGTCTAATCTTTACGTGGCTGTGCTGACTTTCGTGTCTGTTTGTTTATGGGTTTGATAGTTGTTTTTCTGAAGTTACTGTATTGCTTTGATGGTCCTCCAGTGGATTATAAAAATGTACACATTAATTCCTTTCTCTGCCTTCGTTTGTTGGAGCCCAGTGGAGATAATTTGTGCTCGTGGAACGTGGTGGTTGGGAATGRGGGTGATGATCACTCCCAGAACTGATACCACCCATCACTGACAATCAAAGCTCACGCTGTCGGGATGGTTGGAAGCTAAAATTGATTTAATTAAATGCTTACAACATCTATTAACAATAACAGATTAGATTCTTTGTCACAGCAGCTATTGTGATTTTTAGAGTTTGCTTCTGCAGGTTGAAAAGTGATTTATAGTTTTAATTCATCTTAATTTGTGTGCTTAGGAAACATTTGATATACAACTTCGTTGCATTTAAATTTCTTTGTTATCTGCCCTGCAGTGGCGTGAGTAATAGGGAGCCCAGAAYATGAATATATTGGAATGCATGAAATATTTTCAAGGAGGAAGCTTTTAAGGTGCAKAGTGATATATGTCAAATGTTACTGAATGGATGAGCATGTGGAGAGATTTTAGTCTCAAAAAGCTTGGAAATTAAGCAGCTCTTAGTACAGTACCTGTGTTAAAAATAAATAAATAAAATATAATAATAATTATTGTAATAATAATAACAGAAATAATAGTAGTAACTCTACTACTATTAATTGGTTTAAGTATGATACCTGTACTAAATAGAGTATTTATTCTATTCTAAGGCTCAACTTTTTTATCTGGCTGGTGAAATTTATTATACGGACACTGAAATGATGCTGTGTCAGAGCTTGTGTGCACCAAAAATTGCTGCACCTCTAGACTTACATTTAATAATCTGTAAAGTGTTTTTACAGCCCAGAAAGCCTATGTATATTTGAATGAAAGTATCTGTATTCTTTGTGCCAATTAAACAAGAAATTTGTTAGTTTAAAAACAAATTCTCATGTTTTCTTGATACTTGGATAAAATATTATGACTCAAGGTGTGGCTTAGTCCCAACATCACTAAATGAGAGATTTCCACAGACTGCAGAAGAGGGTAACAATGAGCCTTTTCTAGGCACACTTAATGATCTGTTAATATTAGGATTTCAGACTTTGCAAGACACCTGGCAGTTTTATGATAAATGTGTAACATGACAGGACTTGGTGCTCATAAACATCTCAGAGGCACCTGGCAGGTGCTCCTGGTTTGGGAATCCGCTGTGATCCAGAGCTGCAGAGATCACGAGTGACGGTTTGGTTTGGTTGTTTGTTTCTTTTTCCCCTTTTCCCCCCGTTTGACTGTGCAAGGATGTCAGGATTGCTTTTGTTTGGAATGTAGGACATGGTGAGATTGCTTTTGTCACTGCCTTGCTGCACTTTCTGGTTACTAAGAGACTGTTGTACTCAAATTGCCAAAGATCCGAGCGATGCCTCGCAAACAGATGAAATGTTTTCACAGCTCCTGCCCTCGCTCTGCACTCACCTGCCCTTTGGAGACAGGGATTTCTTCTCTTAGATTCTCATCCATGCATTTCCTTCCATGTCTTCAGGGCAAGGAATGGAATTTATKTCCCTTGATGAGCATTGTTTTGTTGTGCATTGAAGGCAAAATATGATCTGATTTATGTTTAAAAAACAGTGCCAGTGTGTCAGCCATGGAACTGTGCTGGTTGCAGGGTTTGTTGTGCAGGCCATGTACCATTAACAGCATGGTTCTGATCTCTACAATGTTTATATTCATCCCTTAACTTCCCTGAGCAATTCTTTTTTGGCAAGGTTGCTTTATAAAAAATKCTGAATTTACTCTTGTTTTATTGCTCACTAGTTACGAACCACTTTTTGTTGTTTTAAAAGAGTCCAACYTGGAAATGCTTTTTAGTCTCACGCTAACAAGCTCAATAAATGACACACCATAGAATAGCAACGTGCTTTTSTTTTACAGAGGCAAAGGAAATTGTTCTGAAGGCACAAATTCTGGCTGGAGGGAGAGGGAAAGGTATTTTCAATAGTGGATTGAAAGGGGGAGTTCATCTAACTAAAGAGTAAGTACTTCAAATTGAAAAAAAACCAATAAATCGCTTTCTGTGTAATATTTAGGCTGTTTACAATARCTATGGACTGTTTCTTTTAATATCTTTTGATAAACTAACATTTTTCCTTTGTTTGTAGCCCTAAGACTGTTGAACAGCTTGCTAAACAGATGATTGGGTACAATCTGTCAACCAAGCAAACTCCAAAGGATGGTGTGACAGTTAAAAAGGTAAGATTTTGGCCTCTTGAAAGTTAAAAACTTGTGTTCAGCTGCAGTTTTGCATTAATAAACTGGGATGTACAACATAGATTTTTTTAAAATCCCTCTCCAAATCCTGATTGATTACATCTAATTGAAGGGAAAAAAAAAAAAAAAAAAAGACATTTTTATTCTTTCTGGGTGTGTATGTATTTCGTTCATCACTTTTGGCATACCCAGTGATGAAAAAATAAATTGATTTCTGTGATGTACATTGAAAGGAATTCTTTGTCCCCATCTTTATGGTAAGTTCCCTTTAAATATCGAAAGGTTTGCATGAGAATTATCTCAACTGAAAAAAGTGTCATAACAGATTCTTCCTATTTGTTGCAAATTCAGACTAAAATATGTTCATGGTAATATGATTGAGGTAGCCCGTGGGAGTTCATTTTCCAATGATTTCTGCAAGACACTGAGATTCACTTCAGMATATATAAATTGTTCTGTTTTGGCCTAAATAAGAGAAGCAAAGATTCAGCAAGATTCTCCTTCAAATTAGTCAAATTCTGTGAGTCAGGAAATCCTGGCAATTGCCTGTCTGCCATATCTGTTTTTATCTCTTGCTTTGTTTTACTGAGCAAGAATCCTCATCCAGGTGAGTAGTCAAGAGCCACGCTGTATCCAATGCCAGGAAATAATTTGGCAYGAGCTGAAGGAGCTGCAGTTCACATTTAATATCCTGTGAACAGCTTGGTGTATTAGCATAGAAGGGGAAGGAACACCTGTCTGGAAAGATCCTGTCTAATGAGGGCTGCAGGAAGGTGTTCAGGCAGTTCTTCTCTTGGGGAGCAAGGAGAAAARATTATCATCACTCCTCAGAGTTGTTGTAAAAAAAGAAATACCATATATTAAAAAGGAGGAACAGTATTACCATTAAGGCGTATCTGTTGGAGAGACTGGTAATACTAAGGCTATAAGAAAGGATATACCTTTTCCATGTTAAGGCACTATGCTTAGTTGTAAAAAAAATTAGTATTGTAAATGGGAAAATTAGTATTGTAAATGCAGTTTACTTTTAGAAGTTAATTTTTTAAAAATTCTTTTACCCTAGTTGGCCTACTTTGAGCACACCAATACAGAAATTCTCTCTTTTGTCAGAGTGCGAGCCTGTTCATCACTGACAGATTCAGTTCTGAAACAGAAACKTCTAATTTTCTTTGAAATTGATAGTAATGGAAGAAGAGTATGTGTGTTGGCATTTTTGGGATGGATTATTCAAAAGATTTATATTAGGAAGACTTCTGTGCCATGTCTAGAGTAGCTATAGAAGATTTAAGTTTTTGTTCCTTTCTCCCCCTCCACATGTTGTTTGTGTGAATGAACAATGGACAGGATCAAGAGCTGGGGCTCTTAGTTGAAGTTTAAGATGAAGTTTGCACTACTGAACTTGAGATATTTATTTTGGTGCTGCAGGGTTGTGTATAGCTGTGATAGGCTGTTTTTTTTTTTTTTCTTTGCTATAGAGTTACAGAGAAACCTTTCAGGAAGTATTTTACTGTTGATCCATGATAAACCAGTGTTATGCTTTTCACTGGGAGAAGCTGATCATCTACTGTCACAGGCTTTCATTCTGATTATAGAGTTGGCTTTTAAAAGTATGTTGGCTTTTAACTAATTTTTTAGTGTTGAGTTTTTGATTCTTAGTAATTAATGTTAAGCACACACACCCTGCTTTAAATTAATTAATTTTGTCGCAGTTTGCCCGATGTTATGTTTATTAGATGGTGAAGAAAGTATATTTAAAATTATGCATTAGGTCATTCAAAAACTATTTCCCAGCAAAATTATGGGGTTTTTTTTAAAAGCATTTCTCATTTACAAAGTTAGCTCACATTAGGATCTTCAAGGTAGTTAGAGGAGCTGAGGCATTTGGATTTGTAGTGTCAGGACTACAAAACCAAATACTAATTTTTTTTTCAATCAATCATAGAAATTTAGCTATGTCTGAGATATCATTTAATGCAGTGGGAACTTAGTGCACTGAAAATGCCAGGCAGACTCTTTGAGCTTGCTAAAAGCAGTGGGGAGGATGAGAACTAATCACTGGCATTTTTGTTCTATTTCAAGGCACGTGCTTTCTCTGTGCATGTGTGGAAGAGTTTGTGTGTCAACATGTACTTAAGGAAAATTGCATTTTAGGAAGAAAAGAAAAGGCATGTTTTTAGGATTTGTGCTTTTTAAACTTTTCAGTGTTCTGGGAAGTTTGAGTGGTTTAAAACACTCCTATGTTTTAAAAAGATTCAGTAATAAGCATTTTTCAGAAGGAAAATGGTTATTATGTCAATTTTTGTGAGGCAATCAATGAGCTAGTGTCAAGTCAGGGAGGGGAAGTCACGTACCTTTTACATGTATTTGTAAGRAAGGAATAAAAGGTAGAAATTTTCTACAATTAGAATCATTAGGAAGCAGAAAATGATGGTTTCAGYTTTCTTTCTCAGCTTGTACACCTGCTACAGAATTTAAAGTGTTTTTGTGCCTCTTTAGATTGATGTTTCTCAAATAAATAGCAATCTCTTCTATTCCCTCATAAGTTAGAACCTCTTCTGTGAGTTTACATAAAACCCTCCTATGGCAGTTTGGAATTTGGAGAGCCTGGCTATCTGTGATGACAGTCTTCTCTTATCATGACAACCTGAGAATTTGCTACCTGTGTTTTCTCTCCAAGCAATAACAGTGACTGAACACTTTGATTCTGGTTTTTTTTTTTAAAAAAAAAAAGCTGTTATAGTTTTCCTTATGAAATTAGATGTGTGACTTAAACTTTTAGGTAATGATTTGTTACAGAGAAGGGAAGCTTGAAGTTGTCAGGAAGTTTTAATGAAAAGTGATTTTTTTCCCCAGGACATTTTAAATATAAATGTGATATGGTAAACAGATAATGATGTGTCATATTCTTTATCAAAAGAAAAACAGACAAAATGTGAGAAGAGTCAACAGTCTGTAGATTCAATTTCATTATTCTTAACTGTTCATCAGTGTGTTTGCATTAGTTCTGTCGTGTGAGTGATAGGTAGACTTTAACAAGTTATATTTAAAGACCTTGAACACCACTTTCCCTGGCTTTGCTCTGCATCAAACAGGGAGGATGGTGAAGGAGAGGTTTTTTATGGGACAAACCAGAGATACTGCACAAGCTGACAATTTTTGCTCTAAGGTTGCCTAGTTCAAAGTAGACTTTCAGTAAATTTGTGAATTAAGACAGAGAAGTATCTGATGATGCTGACATGGTTAATTAGCAGCAGYGAGGACGATCACTCCAGTTGGAAGTTGCTGTTGAAGGAACCTGATTTAATAATGTGAGTTCCACCTGCTGTGCCTGCAAATGTATTCCTGGAAGCTTGTTGAGTTTATTCCCACCCTAAGTGTGGCCCYGACCCTGAGATTTGTGCAAACTCTGAACAGCTCTGACAAGATCCAGTAGGACCAGTTGGATTATTTGACCTGTGCTTAAAAAAACTGACTCACRTTTTTCAGATACACTGATGCAGGATATGTAAGAAGGTGAAAACATGGACRCAGGTAAAAATAGTAGCAAATCAAGGATGCTTTCCCTACCCTTGCTTGTTAATTTGACAAATCTTGGCAAGTAGCCAAGCTATGTCTCTGAAGTTGTYTTTTAGCATCCTTCTGTAGTAGACCAAAATAGGCAGATGCTTTAAAGTAGTTCAGTAGTTTTCTGCAATCTTGKTTCTCTCCTTCACCCTGGCTTTCTTTCCTTTCCTTTTGAACAGTCACTTATTTGAACTATTCCTTTACATCCCCCTATGTTGTGTGAATAAAGCAAGGTAAGAGTAGAAGGAAACAAAGTTACTATAAGGCAAATTTCTTCCAAGTCAAAAAGACSATAAAGAAATTTCATCTTTCCTTCAATTCTGAGCACTGAGGGCTTTATTTAATTCCTTGTTTCTTATATTTTTCCCCCTCTACTCTAATACTTACTGCCTGGCAGAAAGTCCCTATATTCTTTCTTATGTACTGTGGAATAGAATGTCAAAAAAGCGACTTAGGTGCAAGTTTAGTGCATCTTTCTTGTTTATAGTCCTTGAACTATGAAAACCCCAGGAATACTCATTTGATTGAGCACCTTGTGCCARGTAGGCAGAGTTTTAAGGCTGCAGGTATAAAAATGCCTCTTGGATCTGCTGCCTRAGAGGATGAATTTCTCCTTGTGGTACATTCAGTGATGATCTTTGTCTGCAATCATTGTTCAAAGCTGTCACTTCACAAACAGACCGTGGTAGAAAGATGTTGCCACTTAATCCTTCTCAATTATCTTAATATTASCAAAGTGATTTTCCTGATTTCTACCATTTCCAATGAAAGATGGGAAACAGTTGCTCTGTTAAGGAAGAATATAGTGCTGATTAAACTGCAGAGGTGGCTGTTTCACTATAAAGGTTAAAAACAAAACAAGAGTGCAGAGCAGAACTACAGTCTTTGCCCCTTAGATTATGGMATCTGCTATGATCACAGGAAAATGATCATATGCAGATTTTTTTCCTAAAATTAAGACTATTTGGGGAAATTTATTATTCTTATATCAGAACAGTTTTRTGAGTCCTTTGCAAGTGGAAAACTACTTAATCTCTGAAATTGCTGCAATAGTTATTGTAATAGTTTTGCAATAACTATTGCAAAAATGGACAGTTCAGGTCAAGAGAAAGGTACAGTTATTCTAATACTAAAATGGAAAGGACTTTGTCTTGTTTTTGGGAGGAGGGAAAAAATTGTAATGAAGACTTTATATGGACCAATTTCCATCAGTATTAATGTGGTACTTTGTAGATTCTAAACATGTGGGATTTGAATCGTGTTTTTGTTTTGTTGTGTTGCGTCTGTCAGATCCTGGTACAAAATGGCTCTGTAGTTTATAGTAATAATTAGAAAGTAACAGCTCTTTGGAAAAATAAATATCTGTGTTTCTGGATTGTGCCAGCATCTGAAGGACACACACCTGCTTGACTCTAAACTGAAATTAAAAATCTCGATGGCAGAATTATCTGTAAACCCATTTTCTTAGGAATACTTAGGCAGGGCGGGAATTCAGTGCAGAGATTTCAAGGGTTGGGTGGCCTTCTGTCGGAATAAGGGAGAGAACCTGAGCCTGAGGATTTGCTGGAGAGGAGCAGCACTGCTGGTGAGATTCATCTCAAAGCCAACGTGCCCATCCTTGTGTYTGTGTGATCTGCAAACCAAGTCCTTCGAGATTTAAGGTTTTCTATGGGCAGCACATTAAAGCACAATCCCAATCCCAGCACTTATTGGGATTAAAAGTTGATACAGAGGTGTGCAGTTTGGACACAGCAGCAGCTSTTGGAAAAACCCCAGCAATTTGAGCCATTGATCTTTCTTCCCTCTRTTCATTTTTAGGTGATGGTTGCAGAAGCACTGGATATTTCCAGGGAAACATACTTTGCAATTCTGATGGACAGAGCCTGCAATGGACCTGTCATGGTTGGCAGTCCTCAGGGTGGTGTGGACATAGAAGAAGTTGCAGTAACTAGCCCGGAGCTTATCTTTAAGGTACTGAAATAATACAATACTGAAATAATACAATTCTTTTTACAATAAGAATTTTCCTTGACAGTTATCCAAAAGAATATTTTTTCCCCTTTCCACATTTTTTCTTCTTCTAGGTAGAAGTGAGACAAGAAAGAACCATAAAAATGGAGTTTTATCAAATACAGGATCATTTACTGTCACCTAATAAATGAAGCATATTTAACATGTGATTTTATTAGAGTTTTTCAATTAGAAAAAKATCTTAAATCTGGCTGTTATGTGATATGTTAAACTTCTTATGTGAAACGTTTTATGAGTGCGTTTCACTTCCAGGAAGGTATGCAGTTTTTTCACAAGTGGGTTAGTGCCAATATACTTATTGTTTTTGTTTTTCTCTAATTGACAGAGTTGTTAATTATTTTTTTGTACCTGCAAGACTTTTGCATCTGAAATACAACTGTTGTAATTACTTTCTTAACGATGACTACATTGAAGTATTTTTTATGTTACTGTGGCAAGATAATGAGCAGACAAGCTATTCAGCTGAGAAAATAATTGATACAATCAACTATAATTATTCAAAAAATTGTAAAAATATTTAATGTGCATTTTAAAATTATATAAACTCCGCAGAGTTACTGGGCACTGACACTCATTGCCTTGAAAACATTCCAAAATATGTCATAAAAATTAACAGACTAAATATTCGTCAATGCCATCTGTACAGTAATTAAAAGTGAAAACTGGTGTCACATTGTCTTGTCAGCGTGCCACCCTGAAGAATTATATATTTTTTGGAAGGACTGCTTCATAGTCAGTGTGGTAATTATAACATCCCCTATAGGCAGCTGCTATAGCCTCCGTCTCGGGGAGCCCTGGCTAACAGCCAGGCTTTAATTACTAATTTGCACATGTATACTAAGTGTTTTCCTTTTGAAGTTATAAACCTCCATTCAGATTGAATATTTAGTTATGTTTATGCACGTTACTGTTGCAGGAGGAAATWGATATTTTTGAAGGCATAAAGGATCGGCAGGCGCTGCAGATGGCAAAAAATTTGGGATTCCAAGGACCTTTGCAGCAGCAGGTAACTTGACTCKGAGGACCAGCTCTTTGTTAAATGCTTTTCCAATAGGCAGGAAAGGCCAAGTGTCCATTAAATCAGAATAATTTTAGCATTCTAAATACTAAATTGCACCTATATGATTGTCATTAGGCTTTAGCAATTTGAATAAGGTCCTGATTATTTTAAAGTGAGATTCCCCAGGCTTTGAAGCAGTCGATGACAACATGCTGTTCCACCATGTGGGATTTCTTTGCTTGCATTGGAATTCCATTGGAACTCATGGATGGCATGGGTACAGCTTTTTTTTGGGAAAACTGGCTCTTAATACAGGGAAAAATAAAGGTGTATCTGGCTTTGTGATTGAAACCTTTAAAATTTTTTTCATCTTCAACTCAAAAACAAAAGACTGCAAGCTTATTGTATTTTCAGTATCTCTTTTCTACATATAATTTTAATATATATATTTCTACATATACTTTTAATATATATATTTGCCTTTATAGTTATTTTGCAGAGAAGAGAGCTCATTTAAGTTACTTTGGCCTGGTTTTTTTTCTGTAGTATCAAACTGTCATTTTTGTAGAACTCCTTTATTTTTAATTCAGCAGTTTTAATTATTTTCTATCCTAACATGCAATTAACAAATGCATAATGATTAAGTTGATTAACACACATTTGAAGATTTAGCTGTATATCTAATGAGGAGGAATGATTATGTAGAACCTTTCAACCCTTGAAGAATTCTGATACTTAATAATTAACAGCAATATATGCACTTTCAAACAACACATTTAAATAACGCTGCAGGAATGCATTTCTTTTCTCATGCTAACTAAAAGGAATTTACTGAAGCATAGAGACATAGTTTTTATCAGACAAATCCTAGTATTTGTTTACACATTCTCTAGTTCTAGGCTGGGATTTTCTGCTTTGCCTTGAAGAGGCTCAGTACTCGTAGAACTTGAGAAAGAGGTGTTGACATTAAGCTGCCTGATTCAGAGAGGTGCTGAAAGATGGAGCAGCCCTTAATAAAAGTGAAGTGATTTTGGTGCTGTGGTGCAATTGCAGCAGAGGGCTGTGGCAGTAGCAGCTTTTGGGGTTGCCCAGAGTCAGTGTGGGGTTCATGGTGGGGCTCCCTCTTGGGCTGCTTTGGCTGCCTGAGTGTTTGTGCCAAGGAAACGGCTGCACATTTACAAYTGATAATTTTTTTTTAAGTCAAATCCACTGAGAATGCTTCAACTGATAACTTCTGAGCAGGGTAGGCTTTCTAAGCATTTTGTGTTCTGCTTCCCGACAGTAACTCTTTAACAAACCTTATCACAGAATGGCAGAAAGGGTTGGGTTGGGARGGACCTTAAAGACATCYARTTTCACCTCCCACTGGACCAGGTCACTCAAAACCCCATCCAGCCTGGCCTYGAACACTTCCAGGGATGGAGACTCCACAWCCTCTCTGGGCCAAACTGGGATAGGGGCTGAGTCTTTCCACTTGTRATRTTTTCTTTTKCATGACTGACCCTGTAGGAGAAAGCTGACTTATGCTTTCTTTGCTCTAATTCATTTTACTTATCAGGAGAGGTCCCAAATATTTTTGGGTTGTRTACTTCAGTTAGCTGATCAGTAATGAGGAGAAACAAATTAAGTAGTTCTTTATTMGTGCACTTCATCAGCAAACTTATTTCAGCTGATAGGTTCACAGTGTGTAATGCACCAAAGGGATTTTTTTTTAATATACGTTCATATTGCTGTTTTTAAGTAGTTCTATCAGTGGAAGAATGTTGTAAGAAAAAAAGAGTTGGAAKTTAGTAGTCAATAGTGGTACTTTCAGCCATGGAATCAGGAATGGAGATAGATGTGAGGAATAATAAGGAACAAGCAGGAGTGTCTTGTAGTGAGTAAACAAGCATGCTTCAGACAAGTTCTTCAAGAAACATTTCAGACTGATATAGGAAGGAGAAATAGATTTTTTTTTTTTCTAAAGTCACCAGAGTGCTTTGTGGTTGCTTACTTCAGACTGATTAACGTGAATACAACTCAGATCTTGTACTGGAGAATACATCATTAACAGTCACTTCCCAAATTAAACTTGTCATAGTAATTGCACTGTTTATTTTGTTGAAAATCTTCAGTTCATGTAGTCTTTARATGTAGATTTACTAAGTGTTATACAGTATCATAATCTTACATTATAGCAATTTAAAAAATTACATGAATACTGTTAAGAAAACAGAATTAAAAGCAGTAATTATCCAGAACTAGTGTTCAATGTAATACATTAAAAATAATCACTAATGGTTTACCTTTGCCTTGAAARCATGAACTTTTCTTTTTTTGTGTGGTAATTGTAAATCGTTTGATCACATTTAGGCAGCAGATCAAATGAAGAAGCTGTATAATCTTTTCTTGAAAATTGATGCCACTCAGGTTGAAGTCAATCCCTTTGGTGAAACTCCAGAAGGGCAAGGTAAGAAACTGAACGAAACAAATGAATGCTTTATTTATGCAAACTATAAATTAAATTGCATAGATGGATGTAGCAGCAGCTTTGCATTAATTTCRTTTTGTAATGTAATTTAAGCAACATTCATAAATATTCCCATGGCAAATTTTGTATTTCAATACCTTTTGTTGTTTCATSCAAATACTGGAAATGTTGGCTTCTACATGTTCTGCTTGGTGAGAGGCAGCAACATTTTCTGCTCTTCTGCCCCTGTACAAAGTTGGGTTTTCTTGATTTTGTGTTGTGGGTTTGTTGGGTTTTTTTTGTGTTAATGCTGCTAGAATTACTGAGATTTTGTGGAAAGAAACTTGTTCTTTTATCTTTGCATTCATATGGGTAATTTAAATTTTAAAGTTTATGGCTCTGCTGCCTACAAAAGCACAGAAGAAATTTCAGCTGGACCAGACACTTTGCTACATCCTTTGGGAAGAAAAAGGGTCATTGATCTGTCTGCACTGTGGCTACAGCACTGGGAAGGTGCAGGGTGAAAATAAGGAGCTGAATTAGCTTCACTCTATCATAATAGTTGGTATTCCAGCTTAAACCCTTCCTTCTTTTTGTCATTTTTGTTCAAATGACTTGGACCAAGGTGAAGAGGGGAGGAACTAAAGATGCCTGTGGAATATTGAAATAGAGCAGGGCTGATCCAAGAGGATCACAGTTACCTCCTCGTTGTTTCATTTCATTAAGGTGCTGAAGGYTTATTTGTTGGGTACCAAGAGGGAAAATCGGTGTGCAAGGAGAGGACAGTGAGTAATGACAGGAAATAAAATCCTTAAAGACTGGAAAGAGCTGTGGTGGCACTCATCCTTGCTGGAGTACTGTGAGGTGGCTCAGTGGAAATAAAGATTTGGAAAAATCACTAAGATAGCTTTTCTGGAATGGCTGTGCATATTTAGTGAGAAGGGCTTAATCTGAGGCATGGTAGGGGTTTTTATGATGTTTTCCCCGAGGTTTTTCCCCATGTGTTTTGCATCCAGGAAGCTGAGGAGCAGAAACAGAGTGGGTTTCAAGCTGTGAAAGCCATCTCACTCACAGAAATGCACAGGAGCCTTCCTGTGCTTATTTCTCTTCTGCTGGCAGTTTCTCCATCTGAGATGTCTTAAAGAGGAATAAAGATAAAACAAATGGAAGAACATTTGGGTAGCTTAATGCAGCCATTCCTAATGATAAAATAGAAGTCTCTGTATGAGGCCCATTATTCTTGTCAAAGTAATGGATAAGATGGATTTATTTCTTGCTGTGTTTTGTGTGAATCTCCATTAGGTTGTATGTATTTCCTTTTGTTTAATATCCTAGCAGATTCTTTGTTAACTCTAGTGGGTCAGAAGCCTGAAACTTCCATTTTTTTTGTTGTTTGTTTGTTTTGGTTTTGTTTATTCTCAGTGTAAACTGTTGAATTGGCAGATGACAAAAACCCTACACCACTAACTAAAACAGCAGAAGTACTTCATGAATATAAGTGTTGGAGCATTCTTTGATATTTGTTTAGAAGAAAAACCCATTTGTATAATCTATCATGCATGTAACAATGTGCTTTTKATAGAGAAAATGGTTTGATAAATATTAATACATGTTTTTGCTGCTACTTTGTGCAGCACRGTCTTTGTTAAAGATGAATGTTCTGTAGAAATGAGTTTCTATTAATGTGACATTGAGAATGTTTGTGTGTAAGGTAAACAGAGCTCTGAAACGGCACTTGTACTCTAGCTTTGAGTTGTTTTAGCAATTTAAGCATCTGAAAGCTTGAAGAAGAAAAATTGTTTTATTTCATTGCTATAAAAATAATTAAAGCAGCTCTAGTACATTGGAAGCATATTAGGAACTGAAGACATTTCTGCTTTTGGCACATTCCCATATTCCAACATGATGGTTGACCAGGTAAGATCTAGACTCTTACAAGAGATTTATTATACACACCAATKAACAGTTTTCTGAAACTGCAGTCACTGAAATAAAATTTCACACGGTTTTAATKGAATCAGTTATCAGTTACAAATCAAATATTAAAAGATAAAAAACCCATCAACCTCAAAAAACTAACTCAAGAAAACCTCATGCAAATCAAGATATACAGGTGAGACTCTCTAGCTTGTGCAAATGTTTGCTTTTTCCTTTGCTTTCTTTCCTATGTTAAGAAATTGTGTATTAAAAAAGAGGTACTTGYCCACCAAAAATCATTGTGGGATTTGTTATTTAAGTTGATTTGTATCTATATCAAAGACTAAAATTGTCTTCTCACTTGTCATTGACCTCCAGATGTGTGTGATGCTCATGAACAAGTGCACATACACCATGTACGTGTTCCAATGGCAGTGTGAATAGAAAACCTCAGCAGACAGAAAAACTATTAGATTTTTATGGACACAGCATTTAAAGGCACTTAAATCTGATTGGTTTGCCTTGAGAAATCAATTACACTTAAGTCAGTAATTATAATCTGAATATAGTACAMGTGAAATTACTTGCATAGTAATATGATAAGTATATAGTCTTACATTTACTTAGAACATTTTAATCTAATGAGGCATTTGCCTATGCAAACCCATAGAAATAATGAGTCAGAAAATGGGCAAATAACACTCTACAGGCATTTCTGTAACTGGTGTGTTTATGTGAATATTGTGGCTGCTAGCCAGTCCTTTGTATCTATTATTTAATGTAGTCACATTTAGCTACTTCTTAATTTGTTTTTACAACCACAGTGGATGTTGAAATTGATGAGAAATTTTGTATTTACTTTCTTAATTTTCTTTATTTAAAATTAATCTTTTGGTCATTAACATAAGCTGGCTTCAGGTTTTTTGAGCTCTTTAATGAAACAATGTGTGTATAGTTGATAACATCAGAAATTCAAACCATGGCTAAGGATATGAYTTCATGTTACCAAACATGGCTTTGGGTTGGTGTTTCCTGTTACATCTTTCATGCTTTCAAAACATGGAAGATTAATTCTTCTGTGGCTGCAGCCCACCTGTCCAAATCATAAAAATCACTTTGTAACATGGAAGAACTTTGTTTSAGGCCAACACAGAAGATCTTCCTGTGGCTCTTTGATGTGGAGATCTTGCTGTGCCTTTTCACAATAGAGAATTTATGGAAAACCTGCCCTTTCCTGCTGGATTCAGTGCTAGAACTTCACCTGCCAGCAGATTCATTCCCAAAGCAACCTCCCCCTCCCTGCTGGAGCAGCTGTAATATTTCAGGAGCTCTCACTGACTGTAAACTCTAAATGCCTGGATGTTGTTTTATTTTCTCCTCCAGTTGTTTGCTTCGAYGCCAAGATAAACTTTGATGACAACGCAGAATTTAGGCAAAAAGAAATATTTGCCATGGATGACAAGTCTGAAAATGAGCCCATAGAGAACGAAGCTGCCAAGTACGACTTAAAATATATAGGACTGGATGGAAACATTGCTTGCTTTGGTAAGAACAAATACATCCAAAAGGCATTTGAAGACAAATTTATACTTGTTCAGCGTATAGACTTTGTTTACATCTGACATTCAGGCCACCCTTGACAGTATTTCAGTCTGTTCTGCTGAGTATTTCTGCTGTTTTGTCTGTCCTTCCATAAGTTCTTGCAGGAATGAAATTAAAATTGTATGGAGGCTGTGCTGATGGGCTCAGCACACAGGCAGGRCAGGAGTGCTGTCACAGAGAAGGCAGACTCTAAGAGGTTTCAATTTCTGAGTTTTCAACCTGATGTAATTGGTCTTTCCAGCAATTAAAACAAGAAGAGTCATCAAAAATCAGTCATTAATTTTTAAAAATAAGACTGCTACTTAAGAGGCACTGAAAAAGTATGTGTGTATAAATATGACATTCCCAGTTACAATTGAATATTAAACTTCATTTCTCTTTAAGGAAAGCTGCTAAAGATTCTTCTTGGAAATGACAGATTTTTTATTTTCCTGAACTTTCTGTAGAACAGAAATTACTCTGCTGTTTAGAAGAGATAAGTAGAAAAGTCAGCTATGCTCTAAATAATTTTCATTTTGTGCAATTTTTTTTAGCCAATACAACCTTTTATTATTAATCTAATTGAATCAGGCATTTTTTCTCAACTTGGTGAGCAAATGCCCAGMATTTATATTGGCTCAGATGTGTACATTTTAAGCCTTTTCACAAATCTTATCTGTGTGAAATATCAGCACTTGATGTTTACAATTRCAGTCAATGGAGCTGGACTTGCAATGGCCACGTGTGATATAATATCCCTGAATGGTGGAAAGCCAGCCAACTTCTTGGATCTGGGTGGAGGCGTGAAAGAAGCWCAAGTCTATCAAGCATTCAAGCTGCTGACTGCTGATCCAAAGGTAAAAATGTTGGGTTTGGGCTGGGGGCTTCCCTGTGCAGCCATACAGGTGAGTAGGACCATGAATAATGCACTGAAAAACCCAAATAATGGTGTGAACGCTGAGTTACTAAATGGGAAAGCTGGGAAGAGAATTATTTTGGTATAAAYCACTGGACAGAATTTTCAGATCCTGATCTGTACTCAGGTTTGCTGGTGAGTTGTGAGTGGGAACTTTCTCAAGGCAGTTCAATGTAGAAGTTCAGGTATGTTAATGCTGGGCATTGCAGAGCTCAGCTCAGAACATCTCTCTGCTAAAACGGAATTTGTGAGTCTTAGATGGGTAAAATGTCATTCCTAATAGTGTAGTGCCACAGTAGGCTGAAGAGAAAAATGGGAAAATTAAGGAAATAGCTAATTCTAAGGGCTGATTTGTWCTCTTTCAAGCTCGAGATTTTGAAAATATCTGACTCTGCACTGCAGGATAGTGTGTATTTAATTAACATTCCCAGGCTGGAATCATAGCCTGGAACATTCTGACACTTCCTTGTGCAGATGGAGCTGCAGTTGCTCTTTTCTGTTTTGAACAAGAGGAGGAGACATTAGTCTGTGTGTGCTGAGCAGAAGATATTTCTGGAGATGGGTGTTGAGGTCACTGGGCCCCTCTGCAGACAGAGCTGGAGAATCTGCTGGTAGAATATTGATCAGGCGTGGGTTTTGGAGCACTGCCAGCTGCCCATCGTGCCAATGAGGAGCTCTGCTTTTGTGTGTAGCCAGAACTTGGGTGCTGTTGATATTTTTACTAATGGAAATCTGTCAGAGGGCTTTGATCATCCTCCCCATCTCCTGCATCTAAGCCTCGCAGCTGAGGTCCCTATTTCAACATATTGCTTCTTTTTGTGGATCTGGCTTCATCTCCTTCATCTCAGTTTTTCTGTGATTCCAGTCATTTTCCTCGTGTTCATTGTGATGTGATGCTAGCTCCTAAATGCCACTTTCCTGTGACAATTACATTGCTGTAATTGTATGCTCTGTGCAGCAGCAAGTGACAAAATTTTGTGACTTTTCCAACAGAGGTGGATATTGTTTGCTGCAAAATTTCAAGGCAAAATTAGGAARGGAATTTACACAAATGTACAAAATAAGCACAGGTCAACCTCCTGTTGTAAGCTCTTTGCAGCTGTAACTCTCCTTGCATATTTTTGAGGCACCTGGTACYTTGATGTGTCAAGTGTTTGTTGTTGGAGTTGTTTGAGTTGCTCTGCAGTGTAGAATTCATGTGATGCTCTGGGTTTCCCTGAGATGTAATTGAGTTCCAAAATTCGTGTTGGTGGCAGAGAAGCAGGTGCAGGGAAGGGATTATCACTGTGCTGAGTACTTCCCACTGTCTGCTGTGGCACAAACAGCAGGTATTAATTTTGGTGTTGAAGCTCACTGAGTTTAAACAATTTTAAAACAAAAAGTCATTCTTGTAGCTCTCAGCCATAGAACATCTGCGTGCCCAACATTTAACTTGTAAATGTACCCTTCTATTATACATTCTGCTTATATTTTACTGCTTAACTCTATTTCTAGTTGCYTTAACCAGGGCTAGCAATGCTCTGGGCTCAGAGAAAGCAAAAGGTAGCAAGGAAAGGACCTGGAATAGGCATTTATAGGCCTGTGCCATTCCTGGCATTGACTGGCTGRAGATKCAGAAGGCARAACATTTCATGTTTTATTTCATTCTGTTCAGAAAATACAGAAAATGTCTGTGATTTCCTCTCCCGATACACCACGTCCATTAGCTCACTAATATACRGTAAGATAATTGAATGAATCCTCTCTTTTCTTAACTAATGGTTGGGTTTCAGTCCCGAGAGTCTTTGTGGCTAATGCAGCATTCACAGGTTGTATCTGGTCAGTCATTTCCCTGTGGCCTTTAACTTGATTCCCACCTTGTTTGAGAAGATAAAAATTTGTTCTTGGGAACTTGAGGTGCAATTAATTTTAGTAAATGTCTAAATGTCTGGAGACTAAAGAAATAAACAAAAAAAATGTCATCAGGGCTGTAATAGGGAGAACCACTGTCTTTTAGCTGAGTTGGCAGAGTTAARGACATTGCAGGAGAAGAAATCTTCCAGAAGAAAATATTCAATTGCACTTTGAAACAGATCTCTTTCTCTCTCTTTTGCTGTCTTTAGAATGTCTATTTGTATTAAAGCAAAACCAAACCCCCCAAAAAATACACAAAAAAAACCCCAAACAAACAATAAAACCCAAACCAGGTATCCCATGATTTGATTTAGTGAAGCTGAGGATATTGTCTTCAAGAAAAATGAAGATCTGCACTGGTTTTCTGCTGGTTTAATCTGTCAGTTGTCAGTGTGTATAATTCTTGGAGAAAAAAAAAAATAAAAGTGTGTGTTTTTTTGTTGCAAAAGGTTACACACTGGCTTTTGGATGGAAATGCTGTCCCTGGAGCCAGTGACCCTTTTATACTCTGCTGGTCTTSTTTGCAGTGTGCCACATCCAATACTTCCTAGGTTAGACAGGTCATTGCTATGGTTCTGAATTCCTTTCTATTCACTGTCTAAATTCCAATTGTTTCTTTTCTTTCTTTCTTTTTTGCTTTTCCTCCTTCCTGCCTGTCTTGTTTCTATAAGTTAGAGCTGTGCATCTGCTCTGGCAGGAAATGTACAGTCTTCCTTCTTTTTAGCTACCAKCAGGAAAGGGAAAGATGGTTCAGTTCTGGGAGTTCAGGCTGCTGGGAGACACTGCAGGAGCTTCATTGATCCCCCTTTGTCCCACAGTGAAGTAGAAGTGGTTGTTTCCTAAAATATTGCAGAGGTTCAGGGTGGTGCCTGGCTCTCCCCTGCAAGTGTGAATTTCTGCTCAGGTATCCCTGTGAAATCCTCATCCATCAGTGCTCTCACGTCCTTTCCAAGCTCCACAAATGCTTGTTCTTGTTCATGCTGAGGACGTGGTTGCCATATGATGACTGTAGGATTCAGCAAGGTTTTTTGGATAGGCTAAAGCTGAAAAAAATCTGCACCCCCATGGATCTCTGTGGGCTGCAGGGGAATCCCAGCTCTGGCATCTGGAGCAGCTCCTGCCCCTCCTTCTTCACTGACCCTGGGGTCTGCAGGGCTGTTCCTCTCCTGTTCTTACTCCTCTCTCCAGCTCCTGTTGGGCAGTTTTTTATGCCCTTCTTAACTCTGTTATCCCCGAGGTGTTGCCACCATCCCTGATGGGCTCAGGCTCTGTCTTGGAGCCCCTGACATTGCCTGCAGCTCATACCTCATACCTGCCTGCAGAACCCACCTCATATCCCCCTGCTGCCAAAAACTGGCCACACAACTCTTACAAAAGCCAACTAAGCTGTCAGCAGGTTTGCTTTACCTTCAGCAGGCTCTAGCCCTGGTCTTGGCAGTGGGCACCTATTAGAAAATGTCACTGAAATACAGACATTAAAGGCTGGCATGGTTTGTTGTTCTTTTTAAACTTGTTCTTTTTCTCCTTTTCCCACTAAAGTTCCTCTGAAAACCTTTTTTGACTCCTGTCATTGATGAGGTGGCTAAAGACTCGCCAAATCAATTGATGTTAGCAACTGCTGTCTTGTCATTTAGGCAAAATAATATTGACAGAAAGACAAACGTTTCTCAGAAAAAATATTCTATATTGGCATCTATTAGCTCATATCCAGGAAATAATTAATATCAAACACACACAAGATGTTTTTTTTTATCCTTGAGCTATTATCTAGTCCAATTTCAGATTATTGTCTTAATTATATGGAATTGACATTTTTATTCCTGTCACTTTGCTTTTCCTGTTTATGTTCAAATGTATCTGTACCCACCACATTAATGGCACTGATGTGTTGTGTGTAAAGCAGAAATTCTGGGGATTTTATTTTCCAGTCATCCGAGAGAGTGACCAGAATTCTGAAAGAGGATATTATTAAACCATAACTTTGCAATTCACTTCTTTCTCAGCTGTGTTTGGTGTGAAAGTAATACGGTTTATACATCCTTATTATACAAGACATTTTTATCACTGGTTTATCCTTTTGGCTTCGGGGATTTTTAGTATTAGCTTTCTTAACATTTGCAGTCTGTTATGTGGCAACAGAAGGGATAACACTATACCARGAGGAAAGATTTGGAATATTCTTTTCTTAGATTTCAGAAATAAAAATTARGTTGCCAWGTATAATGTATTTGGTCTTTATTTYGRGTGAATTAATTCAGAATTGAATGAGCTAGTTCAGTTCAGACCATTCAAAACATCTCCAAACATTCAGGCAGTTTGGCGTGCAGTAACTATATTTGTGTGTTTCTGGATGTTTGCTCTCACTCTGCAACTTTAGACAATGACCTGCTCCCAGTTTTAGGKGCAAATTGTAAAAATGTCAGGATTCCAAATGCCACATTTCTGTCATAGTGAACCTCATCATGGTTAGAGCATGGGCTGGCTGTGGACAGTTCATCTGCATTTAACTGATTGTCAGCAGTGGATTTCTCAGTGTTACCATAATGAAATCCCATAAATCAGTAGGAATGGATAACCTTCCCTATCACATGTGCAGCCTGTGTCATTGTGCATATAATGTTGGAGAAAAAAGGGGAAATGTAAATGGGATTCAGTTGCRGACATGAAGCAGAGCGTTAGTGCTGAATTTCTTTGAGTTTTCAGCTTTTGTGTGATTTCAGATAATGCAGAAGAACCCTGTCCTTGCAGACTCATGAGGAATCATTTTGCTTTCTCATTCACATACCATGCACCCTTTACACAGCTCATTACCCAGCTCTTCTCCACCCAGCACAAAAATCCTTTACACCTTTTGAGTTTCTCTCATTCACACAAGAGGGTGAAGCATCAGATGCTGCTTTGAGTACTCTCAAAAGCTGCAGCTGAAGAGTTACTCTGGTGCACAAATCTGTGTGCTGAGCACTGTTCCACAATGTTAACTGTTCATACTCTGCACAGCCTTCATAGCTCCAGAAGGGTATCTGAAAATGGTGACACTTGAATTTACTG